CATCGATTTCTGTGGAACCCAGTAGCTGTCAAAACTTTCACATTTTTACGAATAACTCGGAAATCGTAAATTTTTCAGGTAAAACGGTTAAAACAAACCTAAATTAAAATTGAACGGCCAATCTGAAAAAAACAAAAAAAAGAGGGGGTTTCATTTAAAAAACCAGAGTTGGTAACTACCACACGTTTATGATGCACCCTGTATATTGGAAAGTAATTTTAGAATGTGGACCTTTTAAACGTGAAAAACTTTCGTTGGACGAATTTTCTTGTAAACTTCATATTTACTCAGATATCGCACTTTGACGCACTAATGAGCAACCCTGTATGTCGGCTTCTACCGCACTGATTTGGTCATTTTTTTTTTAATTTGGGGTAGCAAGTAGAAGAAAAGGTAGTGTTTTAATTTTCATAGTTACATTTATCAATTTTAGGAAATAAACAATCGGTGGTCGATTTTTATAATCAAGCATTTTTACGAATTAATAAGATTTAATAATAATAAAATATTTTTCTACATACCTTTCGTGGCTTTTTCCCCATGGCAGCTCTGAAAACTTACTAGACGAAAAATCATTCTTTGATTTCGGCGCGCGTTGTTTTGGGGGCCCCATTAAGGGCAGTTTTCTTCTCTCGAACGCAGCCGCCCCCGGCCTACCTGCATTGCGAATCGGTTCGTTCAAATTCATTATTGTTCACTATTTTAATAGACAATCGCTGTTTTAATGAGTTTTAGTACGAAAATCAATAATTTAGATTATTTTAAGTGAATAGCTGTCAAAGTGGATAGATAATCATTAATTGTGACAACATCCCATTAAAGAAATCTTCCAATATGCGTCAAAAAGTCAATTTTCTCTGCTTCATGCTATCAGTGATCAAGAAATAAGCATTACGCTTAACGATATTTATCGTTTGATACAGTTTCCAGATCAGATTTGCTAACTGACAACGTGTAAATTGAATGCAATTTAAAAATGTTCCGATAAGGTTCTATAACTAATAGAATCAATTACAGCAAAGAATAGAAATGCATCAACAGTTTGACAATGATTTTTGAGTCAATGAAACTAATTTGAAATGACACCGTTTTCTCCAATTTTATACACAAGCGAGCGTAGAAAATTATTTTCAAATTATGGTATAACTTGAATATGAAGTTGCCATTTAAGCAGTTTTTATGCAACCCATCAAACGGCAAATGTCCAATATCTAGTAACAATCTAACAAAAGCATCATCCGAACCAAATTCAGTAGCTCAAAATATTTATTTTTAAATTGAAAGCATGATACATTGTGGTTCAGAAAAAAACGATTACTTCTGGAATAGTATGTAGTCTGTGTCTGGAACGCAGTTTGTAAAATATTTGGCATTCCAATCAGTCTTTATCTATGATTCCAATTTCTAACGGTTCTCCGTCTGAAATCAACGTATTTTGAAGATATCCGTGAGTGTTTTTGGTGTTATTAAACAAAATCTGAATATGGCACAGACACGGTTGCAAAAATCGAATAAAAGCCAAAACATTTTGGTGGCAGTTCGAGTTAGGCAAGTATTTTTGAGGACATTTTTAAATGTATGCTTTGGAATGAGCTCTCAAAATCATCAGCAGAGTACATATATTAATCATCTGAAGACAAAAAATGATAATATGCACAGTTGGGCCTTGATTCAATGCAAAAAGGGTTTAATAGAATAAATATTCTTAAATTCAGCTTAACACTCGACGTCGAAATGGCAAGACTAACCAACTTTTATCATGTAGGTACCTAATAGGCAGTGTACCCAGAGTTACCTACCTATAGTGTACCTAGTGTTTCATGAAATACGATTTAACTATAAGGAAAGATCATTGAGTCAATTGAACAAAAGAATAATATAAATAATAAATCAGCTAGTTTGTCATTGACTTAAGTTTCGTTAAAAGCACCAAAACTATCTTTTTACCACAAAAAAGGTAAAGCCCAAGTTTGGCTGAAAACTTGGAGCCAATGAGTTTGATGAGAAATTTTTTATAATCGTTTTAATAACCACATAATGTGGATTTTCGTAAATATTTGGTAGGTACTA